TCAGGTTTGTCATTTGCATTTTAATTTTAAATTTTTAAAAAGGGTCTTTCTTTCCAACTACCACAATATTAAGTAGCAATCTTTATCAGCTTTATCAAAAATAATAGGAAAGAAAAACAATGTACTCATGTACAAATGTTATACAAATGTTGAGAATCTCTAAAATAGCACCATTATGAATGGCCTGGTAATGTTTCTAAGTATGCAGTGCCATTATGGTAGCACAATATTTAAAAAAAAAAAAAAAAATGAATGAACTGATTTCATTAAGATTTTTTTAATGGATAACTTTTTCAAAATGTACATATGCAACAATGACGAGAGAGCTCTTTTTTTTTTTTTTTAAAGTGCCTTAAGAGTGTAACAACATGAACACAATTTCAGTTTTTTTTATATATATCATAAGACATCTATAATAAAATAAAATTATTCTCTTTGCAGATACCAATGAAAAGAGGCTGCAATGATAGGAAAACATGTTCCCCTTTTCGTTCATATAAAGGTACTAACTTAAACTGCCTGGAAATACCAATTTAAGCATTCTGAACCATCCATGAAAGTCCTCATAAAGCTAATTGGCTGTTGAAGGGACACTGTGTGAACTGTAATTGCTCTGTCTTATGAAGTGATTATAGTGTTTGGATGCCTTTGAGGCCATCCTCCCATTCAGCGTTAAACCATTTTTAATTGTTGGTACTGCTAGAGCTTATAAGTAAGTATTAGCCTGTGTAGCAAATGGCAGCTCTGATTAGCTGAGAGTGTCAGCTCACTGTTTTCAGCCTATCAGAGCACTCATCACTTAAACAATCTTTGTCTAATCCATGCCACATTTGAGAGAGTTATGGGTGCCAGGAACCCTTATTTAAAGTTAAAATCTCACAAATGGTTTAACACTGAATGGAGGGACAGAAAACCAGGCACTATAACCAATTCAATGAGATTAAATGCTTTTAGTGCCTACACTGTCACATTAAGTAATGATCCTTAATAACTGATTTCTCAATGCTATCAGGCTTTCAGCATCAAGAGACCTCATCTAAATGAAATTCCAATATCAATATGAGCTTTAGCTAAACATAAATAATGAAGAATAAGCGTTCCCATATATTGTGGAATGTCTCCCTTAAGCATTCATAGAAAATAACCCTAAACAGCACCACTGCAACATTTAAATAATAATAACAATAATAATAAAAAATTAAATTACTAGAAAATGTATAAATGTCAATGTGATGGCTGGCTTTATGCAGCCAATCATGTTTCCATTCATTTTCCGAATTATCAGTTCAATTTCTGTAAGCAAAGTTTGACAGAAACGGAGGATGTATTACAAGTGGGTTACTAACTGAAATGTATCTGGGCAAAGCTTTGTCTTGGGGCGGAGGGAATTACAATGCCTCGTAAGATTCCAATAATGCTGTCAGTAAAGGGAATTAAAAAAATCATATAATTCAAAGCAATATTTATTCAGGCACTATGTCTGCAAAGTGAACACAATATATGCACTTGTGGACTTAAAGGGACAGTATAGGCACCTACCACTTTACCTCAAAGAAGAGTTCTGAGTGCAATGCTCCCCTCTTCCCCCCTTCTCCCATTTTTACCCTGCTAGTGTAAATATTTTTGTTCTGCAGAGACAGCAATGTTTTTATTGCAGGATTTATATGCCTGTCACTAAGACACCCTCTAGAGGCACTTCCTCTGAAATAACACAGTAAAACGCTGCTATTTTAATCTGATTGTTTTAGAGAGACCGTGTGATTGTAGCAGCATGCACACTAGTCTACCATTTGCTGAGATTATAAATCTTGATGAACTTAACTAAGGAGGTCTGGAGATCTTTTTGCTCCCTACAGATGGGGGCCTTGGACCTAAAAGGCACCAGGTCACTGTAGTGTTAGGAATACACATTTAATCATGCACACTCTGCCTATAGCTTTAGGAATACACATTTAATCAGGCTAACTCTGCCTATATAAAGATTGCATTAAATTATATGATAAGGGCAATGACTTTCTGTGAGCACTATGGGCAGTTAATGCACTTCTCACAACCACAATCATTGAAGTTTAGTTTTGGATGGATAATGTAGAAGTACGTTTCGGCATTACCTAAATTGTACCAGGAGAGACATTTTTTTTTTCTTCAAACCTCTCAGAGAATTATCAAATGGTCCTGATTCAGGGTTTCCATCTGATTCAGAATTGGAGGCAAATAATGGTGCCTGGCAGACATCATGAAAGTTGACATTCATTATAAACCAGTTTGAATGCCTTGAATAGGGAGCACCAGGACACTCCTAGCACCATAAATGCTACAGCAAACTGTTGTGGTTATAGTGCTTAGAGTATTACTTTTTATGTTTGGGGGTATATGAAGTATTGTCCTACAATAACTGCTGATCTGGTATCTGCAGCTACTGCAAGTCTCCTTCTACTTCAAATTTTCCACAGACATCATGTGGCTGAAAGATGGTGAGGTGTAACAATGTTCATTTGCAAAAGTACTGATTTTACTGAAATCAACATTTACAAAATGAATAGAGAAGGTACACTCTTTATACATAAAGCACTTCAACAAGCTGATGTGCTTTCTGTGTTTGTAGTATTTATTCAAGCATTCCTTGACTTCAAATTCTATAATATCTATTGTGTTATGTCACCATGTTACATTGCCTTGATTTTAATCACAATGATGTCATAGACTTAGAGTTGAGGATAAAGACATGTTGCACAGTCTGTGTCTTTACATAATTCATTTTCATTACTTTAAGACTATAGTGATGGTATGCAGACAGGCTAAGGATTCGAGTATAAGAAACCAATATCCTCTATGTCTGAGGTGTGCAAGACTGCAGACAATGACAAAAAGGACAGGGTGAGGTGTGATAGAAAGCAGTTGTTGTTAGGGAATTCTATCAAATAGGTGTGGAGTTGGACAATAGTGGCTTTGTAAGATGTCTTCCTGGAGTTACTGCTTAATATACATTAAGTCCTTGCAGTGAGGACCAAGAGCAAGACATGTGGTATGCCATCTAGAAGGTCCGAGCTCGCCAATCTGGTAGGACTTGAGGGCGAGGCCTGGAGAGGTGGACAGGCAAGCTTTTCTACAAGGGTCAGGGTAATAGGTAGGGGTAGGTTAGGGGTAAAGGCAGTGTTGGTCTTCCCGCCGTGTCCCACCCCTCTGGTGGTAGGTGGTAGGTGGTAGATGGGAAACAATCTGGAAACAAAGAGCGAAAGTGAAGGTTGAAAACAGAGAGAAAGAGGTCGAAGGAGGAAAGTGGCTCCCTCTATGGGCAAGTAGTGCCCGGGGTGATCTCCCCTATATCGAGGTGATACTCATGTGGCAGTGAAGGCAGTTGAAGCTCCCCCTGGAAGAAACTTAAGACAGCCTTAAGACACACACGAGTGTTCGAGGGGTGTGTGGCTCAGCTCCCAAACATTTATTATTTTTTTCAGATATCCTATTTAATTGAGAGAATATGATGTAACTCAAGGGAAAGGCCCCCACTCTTCCCTGCTAAATGAGAGTCTAACCCGCTATCATGTTAAGTAAGCTAATGGGTTGAGCAGTGACCCCCCATTCCACAATTGTACTACTGAACGGACGTCCAGTGATTGAGTAAGGTGCGGTGGAGTGCTCACCGTCTAATAGCCTAATTCTCTGGTAAGCCCAAGAGGCGACCACCCCTTGAAATGACCCCAACTACTCCCGAGTCCACAATGGCCCCTGCTCCAGTTCTCAGTACCGCAGCCCCTTTCCCCCCCCAGTGAGTCAGGGTAGAAAAATGTTACACCCTGGAAACTAGCAGGTATGCCCTAGGTGCATACAATCGGTGTATTCAATAAGGCAATACGTGTGGAACAATTGAATCTCCAAACATTTGGTGAATAATAAAATAATAATTAAAAAGAGGGTGGGAGGAGGAAAAACATTTTTTTTGTGTGTTTTGCAGTAGGTCCAGCAAGGGAGAGGGTATGGGGTGAGAATTCCAGCAAAGCTGGCATGGGTGTCTCCCAGGACCCCTATGCCACCCAAAGCAATAGTAATTTCCCATCCCTCCAGGGAGTACAGAATGCCGGTGTCATAGATGAATATCACGCCAAGCGGGGCACCACATAAGGGGGGCCCAGAACAACTAGGGTAGAAAAAATAAGTAGTGGGGGAACTGCACAGACGATCCGGGTGCTGACTATCATCCCCAGTGAAACGGTGTGTGTAGCATGGGTACCAGTGGGAGATATAGGGCCTATCCCAGTGCGAACCCCCACCCAAAAGTAGGGCACTCCCTCCCAACGTCCAGAATATCAGGCTTGGGCCGTATGTGACAGGCAATGGGGAGCAACGGGCTTAAGTGTACCTCAGTGCATAACTGAGGCCCTCCAGAGGGTTGGTATGATCACTCCTCCGGGCATCCTGGGTCCGGGAACCGTCAGGGCAGAGGTCCCACTGGAGAGTCCCCTCTCCTGCGACATGGAGCTCTTTGTGGATGGGGCCTCAGGACCCAATTGACGGCGGCAGCTGCAGTCTGTCTAGGTACTCTGGCACATCCTCAGGCCACCTTATGCTGATCCAGTCAGAACGGAAAGCCCCACCGATATTGTATCCTACGTTCCTGGGCATGGAGGTTACCGGTCTCAGAGTCCTTCTGGCAAATGGGAGAGGTAATTGTAGATGGCCACCTGTGCACCCTGAAACTCTCATGTGTTTCCACTGGGGGCTTTAAGCATGATCCTTTCCTTCTGTTTAAAGGAACCTAGACAGCAAATGATGTCCCTGGGAACAGAGTTGTCTGGCCTTGGGTGCAAGGCATGGTGGGCCCTTACAAATTCATACATGCCCAGTACATCTTCCCCAACAATGGATCAGAACAAGGTAGGTGTTCAAGATCCTCAGGGCATTCAGGTTCAAGGAGGCCTCACACCCACAAATTACACCTGCAACTGCGAATATCCAAATCTTCCACCTGGCATCGCATCTCTAGTGGCATATTGCCCTGCCTTGCCAATGCCTGATCTGTGGCTTTGGCCCAAGTCATGAGGCCTTGAGTTGTGCGCCCCAGGACTTGTATCCGGGACCCCTGAGCACTGACCTCAGTGCGGATCAGGGACATTTCGGACGTAATGGTGTCATTGGGTGTGGAGGTGAGGGTCTGGAAGTCCTGTTTAGTAGCCATCATGGAAGCTAAGGATCGCAGATCAGCGCATATAATGTCTAATGTAGAATGGTCCGATCTCACCAGGGAGGACGGTGGAGATGGTGTCATATTGGAATCCGATTCCGCATGGCTAGCCCCAGCCGGGTAATGCAAAAGTCCAACCATGGGGCCAGTTTGAGAGCCGGAATTCGAGCTCCTGGGTGTCTGGGGTGGATCAGGAAGATGTGTTCTCCCCATTGGTGGTTGATTAAGTTGGGAATGCACCGATATTGTGTTTATTTAGGGCTTATAGGAGCAGAGCTCTCAGGCTCTGCTGCCATTTTGGTCAGAGTCCAAGCTACACCCCTGGTATCGTTATTTTGATTAACTTTTAGGAGGAAAACTGCCACAACAAAAGGAAATAGTCTTAAATCAGTGCGACAAAGATTTAAAAATAATTTCAGGAAGTGTTACTTTACTGAGAAGGTAGTGGATGCATGGAATAGCCTTCTAGTTTAAGCGGTAGAGGTAAACACAGCGAAGGAGTTTAAGCATGCATTTAATAGGCATAAGACTATCCTAGATATAAGAGACTAATTGAAGTTTTTAGAAAAGTGGGCAGACTAAATGGACTGAATTGTTATCTGCCATCACATTGCATGTGTGTATGTTTCTATCCTGTTCTTTTTACTATTTGACTATTTGAGTATTTGCCAATCTCAGGCCCAGCTAAGCACCTTGGATTTGAAGGGAGGGTGGTTTTCTTACTGTTTCTATCAATGCATTTTAGGTATGACAAGGGCACTTTAATTTTATTTATTCCAACATCTGTTAGAAATCTATAAAATATTTTAAAAAATATATATATACACTAGTCACCTCCTTGACAAAAACTCTAAAACTAAGGTCTTGATTTAATATTGTTGTATAAGCTTTCCAAATTATTTGATATGTTTGGATAAATCTTTAAAATAATTTCATATTGTGAAAATATTAAAACATTTTAATATATTTGTATAAATTGATATTTTTTGTATATGATATATGTTTTGATATTATAATATATTGAAAACATAATTTGAAAAGTTTATAAAAAAAAATATTAAATTATTTGAAAAGCTAATCCAAAAATATTAAATTGAGGACTAAGTTTGGCCAACTTAAAAATATAAACAATTAGAAAGATCTATTTCGGGTGCAGTATGTTTGTTGTTTTGTAAGAGTTAAGAGCAAGTGACAAGATGTCATATTTTCTTTCAAGTACAAAACATTTTAACAGTTGGAAACATGTTAATGCCATTAGCCATTAATTTGTATATGCATTTAATCACAAATTGTTAGCAGCATTAGCTCTATTCTATACAATGTCAATGCAAATGCTGAGACTCAGCAGGGACTAATTATGATTAATTCACAAATTAAATACCATAAGAAGCAGTGTTTTAATTTAAATTATTGACTATTCACTTACATAACAGAGCATTCATTTTGTACTTTATGTGTTTTTCATGATGTACTTTAGTGTGTTTCCTGTAATTGCATGAGGTCTTTTCCATTATTTATAAAATACATTTTGACTTCCTAAATGGTCAATTGATATTAGTTCTCTACATGTTATTTGAAATTACACCTACAGCTAAATTGTGGTATGCTTATAGACTCAACTACAAAACATACTATATTATAATATACTATAGATCAATTGGAATTCTATTATTGTTTTTAAAGATGTAAATGTAATAGTATGAATTTAAAATATTTTTCTTCAGAAGCAATGCATTCTACCTGATTTTTACTCCAGTCTTTTTTTCCAGCATATAAATATTTGTATCATATTAATATAAAAAAAAGAAAAGAAAAGAAAAAAGATCTTAGACAGATCAGTTTGTTCAGTTACACATGTCATCTTGAAAATGTTCTTGTTCTGGGCAGATTTTGTGTGTGTATTGTTTGGTTCATTATTCGATTACATTTCAGCATCGAGTTTGACTGATCACGGGCCCAAAATCTGATGAGTTGCTCTTCACACCAAAATTAATCTCTCAGTCTAGCCAACACACTGTTTTCTGAGAGGGTTAACAAGCTCCATTTAACTCTACTTTTTGTGTTAGCTTGTGTGTTAGCTCTTGTCATTCAATGTGACCTACACTATAGATTACATGTTTATTAGTGGTCATAAAACTGTAGTGCTTACTGAAATAACTTCAGCAGGGTTTAAATTAATTTGACAAAAACTTGCTAGAGCTCCACCTGCTGCTCAATCTAAAACTCAATATCTGTGTTGAATAAAACCCTTTTTTCAAGGCATGTATATCAATGTATAAAGTTCTGATTCTTCTGTAGTTAAACTGTATTTACTTTTGAAAGTTTACCCTGTGAGTTTCTTTACATATAGGTAGCAGTTCTGAGTGTCCATGTCTTGGTTGCATTACATGGTTTTACCTCTTCTGCTGCTGCCCTGTTCTATTCACTGATATCTTCTTTTGCAATATCATATCAGGTTGGGAGTTCAAGTACTGCATATGTTTCAGCGCAGTTTCCTTGGTGATATAATTTTTGTAACCCAAAGTTAGTTTTAAATTGCTGTTTTTTTCACAATATCCTGCTTTTACATAAATATTTAACTTCAAATTCAATTTATTGTTGAAAAATATTTTGTAGGTTAATTTTGTCTTTCCTGGGTCAGACAGAAAATGTACACTGCTGCTAACTGTGCGAGATTCTATGTGGGGTTCTGTAGAGTGATCTAAAGTGCTTAAAGTAGGGCCGTCACTGAACAAAATAATTGGAATCAGCATACCCATTCCATTGGTGACTCCTCCCCTTACACATTTTTGCATCACTTTTTGGAAGTTAACCCTTTTTATAGATATTTCACACTATACTTAACATTGTTGATGGCCTGCCTGTATGCAGTTCAGTAGCTGTTATTTAGACTTGAGCGGACACCTGGATGTTTCGGGTCCGTCGGGTTCGGCTGAACTTTGAAAAAAAGTCCGGGTGCAGGCTCAAATTTGACCCTGAACTTGACCCCGAACCCAAACCACATTGAAGTAAATGGGGACCCGAACTTTTGGCCACAAAAATGCCTCTAAAAAACTAATGGAAAGAGCTAGAGAGCTGCAAAAGCAAGTAAAATGGGGGTAAGAGTAGGACAAGTACCATGCAAACAAATGTGGATAGGGAAATCACTTAAAATAACATAAAAATCAAAAATACAGCTGAGCCATAAAATAGCACTAGATGGAATCTTTGATTTTAGCTTTGGAAGAACATAAATCAAAATCTATAGCATGGCTGTCAGGAGGATCAACAGAATTATCCGTTTGAGAGAGGGCTGGAGTGCAGGGTATTCTCTTTCATTGTTCAAACTGAGCTCAACGCCTGATGCATGGAGAAAAAGCCTTCACAAGCCTCTGCTATTGTGTACATAGTTTATATGAAGTGACCCATAGGTTGAGGAGGTGGTGACCGTGTAGGTGGAAGCAGCGGTGGAAGAGGAGGAAGAGTAGGTAGCCAACACTGCTTATGTATATATATATATATATATATTTTTTTTTTTTTTTAAATTTTTTTTAATTGTGGTAGCTCACAAAATATTGGGACATACAAAAAAAAGAAACATTTGCGGCCTGCGGTGCATTTCTTGCAGTCCTGATGCATGGAGAAATGCTCTACTCCTGATGCATGGAGAAAAGGCCTTCACAAGCCTCTGCTAATGTGTACCTAGTTTATGCTAAGTGACCCATAGGTTGAGGAGGCGGTGACCGTGGCGATGTAGGTGGAAGCAGCGGTGGAGGAGGAGGATGAGGTAGCCAACACTGTTTTTTATATATATATTTTTGAATTGGGGTAGCCCCAAAATATTGGGACATATAAAAAAAGACAACTCTGTTCCACAGAGTAGCTGTTGACATTAAAGTTGCGCAGGCACTTTGTTGACTAGAGAACCTTGGGCCAATTGCACATCCCTGTGTCGGCGACTTTGCATGCAGATGTCATCCATATCAGTTTCTGCACCTACCATGGTGACCACAGGTAATGGGGAATCAGAGTTCCATTCCATTCAGGGACCCTGAGAAATGGCTACCACATGCAAGGAAGGCAGCAGGCACAGAAATGATCCACTCCCGATGCGGGAAGGTAGTGACGACAAATAACAATACAGGACTCTTTAGAGGCCCTGTAATTGTAATGAGTCCACTTGAAATCCTTTAACTCTGATCAATTGGAGGGAAGTCTGGTGCAGAGCCACTGACCTGTGCATGCTGCAGCTGAAACTCCACTGTCGCCTGCTGCTGCTCGCACAGTATCATGAGGCGGTGAGTGGGAAGGCCGAAGTTACGCTGCAGCGCAGACAGGCGAGCAGCAGCAGGGTGACAACGACAAAAGCGCGCACAGCCGCTACAGTGAATGTCACATCCTGTTCCAAGTTGATGGCTTCTGGTATCCAGTACTCTTTTTACTGAAGCTGCATCAGGGTCCTGGTATGTGGCCGCACAAATGCTGGTGCTCAACACCAGGGGGCGTGCGGTTACCCTGCACCAGACCCTGCTATTCCATTCCACACTGTGACTCCTAACTTCAACATCAGGTATACTGGGTCCCGGTTGTCCGACCGCCGCCGAGACAGTGTCTGGGTCCTGGTCACCGGACTGCCCACCTTACTGTGAAACTATGAATGGATCGTTAAATCTGGTACGATCCCAAACTTTGCAGTTCGGGTTCGCTCAACTCTATTATGGATCCTTTGATCGCTACATGTATTACTTGGATAACTGGTAATTCTCAAGCTCATACATGCCAACAGGCGCTAGGGGACGGCCGCTCCGCTTTTGCACCCTGCTCCCTCTTATGCTGTGCTGGTGCCTCTGTGTGACCAGCGCCTCTTCCTCCAAACTGCACACGTCACTCACATGACCTTGATTCCATGCGGGGTCTAGGACCTCATCATCCTCCACATCATCTTCCACCCACTCCTCAACCCTGCCCTCCTTGCCGGTATGCACACTGCAGAAAGCCACAGCAATTGGCACCTGTGTTTTTTCAGCATGTAAAGTCTGCAAAGGACATATGGAAATTGATTTAGAATTGTATCCAGGCAACAGTTTTCCCTATAAACTGACCTCTCAGTTTGACTTCTGAGGGTATTGCCCCAGAATTACAATATTGTTGAAGTACCTCTTAGCTATTGATAACTGGTTTAAATATAGCAGCTTGTTATCTGGTAGTTTCTAGTGTAGAAAATATCAATCTGTTTTCTATCACTTAGATCTGTGTAACAAGTGTTGTAGGTGTGAAACAATATTACAAGTGACCGATGTAGAAAATTAAATCAAAGTTACGCTTTGATTTGACTCTCAGATATGAAGTGAACACCCCCAAAATACTATTTAGCACCAAAAAATAAAATTTACTTTTTAAAACTCCAATGTAAGCAGCAGATTAGCAGCAATACAATTAGAATGTTTACAACTGTGCAGTAAGCGCACTATTTGACGCTTCTATTTGACTCTCAGATATGAAGTGCACCGCAGGCCGCAAATGTACTATTTAGCAGATTAGCAGCAAAACAATTAGAATGTTTACAACTGCGCAGTAAGCGCACTATTTGATGCTTCGATTTGACTCTCAGATATGAAGTGCACCCCACTAAAATACTATTTAGCAGTTTAGCACCCAAATAATTTTAAGTTTTAAAACTGCAATGTGACAGCAGTATTTGACGATTCTATTAGACTCTCAGATATGAAGTGCACCCCATTAATGTACTATCCCACTAATGTACTATTTAGCACCAAAAAAATTTACTTTTTAAAACTCCGATGTAACCGCGGTATTTGAAGCTTCTATTTGACTCTCAGATATGAAGTGCACCCCACCCCACTAATGTACTAGTTTGCAGAATTCTTTCCTAAGCTGTCCCTATCAGCGGCAGCATCCTCTCCCTACACTAATAAGACCGCATGTGCGTGCGGCGCTACGTGACTCCAGTTTATATATACAGGGAGTGCAGAATTATTAGGCAAGTTGTATTTTTGAGGATTAATTTTATTATTGAACAACAACCATGTTCTCAATGAACCCAAAAAACTCATTAATATCAAAGCTGAATATTTTTGGAAGTAGTTTTAGTTTGTTTTTAGTTTTAGCTATGTTAGGGGGATATCTGTGTGTGCAGGTGACTATTACTGTGCATAATTATTAGGCAACTTAACAAAAACAAATATATACCCATTTCAATTATTTATTATTACCAGTGAAACCAATATAACATCTCAACATTCACAAATATACATTTCTGACATTCAAAAACAAAACAAAAACAAATCAGTGACCAATATAGCCACCTTTCTTTGCAAGGACACTCAAAAGCCTGCCATC